CCCCCCCCATCCCGAGAGCTCCTACCTGGCTGCGCCGCTGCTGGGCCTCCTCGGCGCTTCTGCGGCTGCGGCCCCCGCCGCGCATCATAGAGCATGGCGGCTCCCAGCCCCATAGAGCGGCCCCCTTCGGCCGGACCACTCCCGCTCCCTGGCTGCTCTATGGTCCCATTGTCCGAAGGGCCTTCCCCTCCCCCCCTCCCCCACGGGAGAGGTAGCCGGAACTTCCGCTTAGAGCGGCTGAGGGCCGCGTGCCCGTCTATCGAACCTCCCGCGCCTCTATGGAAAGCCGTCCCAATGGAGAGCGCGCAGACGCGGCGTCGGAGGCAGGAGGGCGCCTTTCCGGTTTGACGTCACGTGAGCTTTAAGGGGGCTGCTCTGTTTTTTTTTTTTTTGCTCTTGGCTCTCATGTTCGGCGAGCCCGGTCCCCCGTCAGCCAATCGCCAGCCACGCGTCGGCTTCTTTCTCCGCCCCTTTTTCTGGCGCAAGGCCAATCGGCGACAAGGGACCGAGTGGAGTGGGAGAGCGTGGACGAGAGAGGCCGGAGAGGCAGGGACGGCTGCCACCTGTCGGGAAAGCGGCGCAACTGCAGGAGAAAACATTCGGAAAGAATGCAGAAAGAAGCCCAACGCCGAATTGGGAGTGAAAAGTCCCACCTCGAGTCTTTTTTCTTTTTCTTTTTGCATTAATGAAGACCCTCAATTTGGGGAGGGGGAAGAGGGGAAAAAAACCCCAAGGCAATGACGTATAGAAAGCAAACTTCTCAGTTTCTACCTGCTTCCTAGTTGCAGGTAAGCTGCTCCTGAACGGGGAAGCTCTGCCTCCACCGTGCAAAGAGGGAAGGTTTATTTAAATGTACGATGAGCCTCCCTCCGCCCGAAGTCAGCTCCCCCGGCTGATTCAACGGGGCCAAGTTAATTCTGGGCTCCTCCCGCCTTTGACAGCTTGCAAAGCGGGCTCTTCTCTCCAGCATGGTGGAACTTCGGCCCCTTTGATGCCATCACAAGATGAAAGCAAACGCCCCCCTTCCTCCTGCAGGGGCTGGGCTGCTGGTCGCAGGGGGTGGGGGGGCGTCCTAGCAACCCTCCTCCATCCACCACCACCCGCTTCCTGGGCTTGCAATTTGGGAGCGTCCCCCAAACTCTCCCGGGCCCAGCTTCCCCGGTGACCGTGCTGCATGAAGAGGAGGATGGGCCTTGTAGTCCTATCGTTGGGAGATTGCTCTCTCCAGAGAGCCCCTGCTTTTTTAAAAAAAGAGCTGGGTTTGGGCACGTCTGAACGTGTGCGTGCACGCGTCTCGATCCCCCCTCTCCGTTGCAAAGCGACGAGCGAATGCTGCCCATGGAAGAGGGGGCACAAGGGCCACGTCCTTCCCACCCACCCCCCGTCCGCTGGGAAAACCCGATTAGCACAGTATAGTGTGCCAAATTAACACAAATAGCGTGCAAAATATACAATGCACACACGCGTGCATCCCTGCACGATTTAGCAAGGGGGAAAAGAAGGGTTTGGTGAGCGTGCAAACCGTGTATTAATATTATTATTATCTATTTGATTTCTTTCCCCCCATCCTCCCCTCTTCTGGTTCCCCTTCTCCCTCCGCGCCCCCACCCCCCGCTGCAGAAATAGGCTGCGTTCCCTTTAAATTTACCCAGGAGCCTTGCAAGGAGCCCCAGGGGCCCCGGGGGGAAAGGTTTCCCCACCCTGGCTAAGCCGGAGCCTGCTCGCTGCCTCGCTCGGCCGCAGGCGGGGAAGAAAGAAGGGGAGGGACGGGTGGGGGGGGGACACCCGCTTTGCAAAAGCGCGGCTGGACGAGGCGATTTTTGCAATTATCGGCCCGAATCGATTGCTATATAGATAGATATATATTGCATTTTATTTATGATTATTTGGGGTGGGGAAAGAGTTGGAAAATTGCATGCAATTGCAACCGAGCGAGGAGGAGGAGGAGGGGGGGGGGATCGATCAGTGCAAAAGAGAGGAAAGGAAGGTGGGGGGGGGCGATGGAGGTCTAAAAGAGAGAGAGGGAGGCGGACGGA